AAACACATAGACTATTATGGAGATTGATTCTGGAATTTAGATGCACTGTTATTAATTGTGCTTAGCCGTACATGTTCATATCCCTGAAGATGTATCATGGGGGGGTTGCAACCTAGAAGACACAAATTTGACTAACAAGTTATAAGTACATGAGTCAAAAATTATGGAAAAGTAAAAGAAAAGATTCTTTCATTATTTTACAAACCCTCCCCCAGGTCCCCTCCACCATGTAGCCCTCGATCTAGACTCCTGTGATGACAGAAATACCTAGTCACATATCTATTTCTCCCTCCTCTGTTTCAGTGCAGTATACATTATTGAACACATCTTACTCAGTCTCTCCCCAACCCTGAGGTTAGTCCCATTCTGCAACAGTGGCATCATGTAATATTTGTCCTTTTGTGACTGGGATATTTCACTCAGCATAATGTTCTCCAGAGTCAACCATTTTGAATAATATTGCATGAGTTCCTTGTTTTTTAATGCAGCATAGTATTCCATTGTGCGAATATACCACAGCTTCTCTAGCCATTCGTTTGTTGATGGGCACTTAGGTTGTTTCCAACTCCTTGCTATTGTGAACAAAGCTGCAATAAACATGGGAGTGCATATATCTGCTTGGATGTCAGCTATGGTCTCTTCAGGGTATATTCCCAGGAGTGGAATTGCTGGGTCAAATGGTATCTCTATTTGCAACTTTTTGAGAAAGCGCCATACTGCTTTCCACAGGGGTTGCACCATTTTACACTCCCACCAACAGTGAATCAGGGTTCCAGTTTCTCCACAACCTCGCCAGCATTTGTTGCTTATCATCAGAACTTTGAGGTGGTTGTTTTTAGGAGATATTGAATTGAGTACAACTCAAAATGACGCTATGAACAGTCAACCTGAACCTTGCTCTATCCTTTGTCTTTGTGGTAAGCTCTGACACTATAGCCCATTGGTGAAGTCACTATGTCAATCCATTCTGTCGGAGTCTTCCTCTCTGTCACCTCCCCTCCAGAACTTTAGGAAGGTAGGACAAAATTGAAGGACAGAGAGGTGTAAACGCTTGTTCACACTTGTTCAGCGTGTAAATTAGGGATTCAGAGTGAGGTTTGCCAACCCCCATGTCTCTTTTTCTGATTAGTGCCTCAGAACACACAATCACATCAGGGAGAAATGACCAGAACACTTTTGCTGAGCCACCATGTTCCTTCCTCTAGTTCTTTTGTTGTTATTGTTGTTTGAATTTTCTTATTCTTTTAAAAAAATTTGTCTACTAGTTTATTTACAAAATTCGAAAACGTTGTTTTCAAGAACAAATTCTTGCATCTTCCCTCACCCCCTCACCCATCAAATTGTACAACTCTATGATTAATTTCCCCTTTCCCCTGCACATTCTCATCCCTCTGCTTCCACCCTCTCCCACCCTTCTTGGGTCCTTATACTTATTTTACAATAATGACTATATACAATATTTATCCTTGTGGAACTGAGTTAGTTCACTCAGCATAAAGCTCTCCAGTCCCTCCCAGGTTAGGTAATAATTTACAAAGTCATTGTTCCTTTGTGTGGCATAGTATTCCATTGTGTGAATGTACCATAATTTCTCAATCCATTCGTTATGATTGGACATTTGGATTGTTTCCATATTCTTGAGAAAAAGAGATTTATACACCAATGTTCATAGCAGTATTATTCTTAGTTATTTTTATAGATGGAATCCCCTCAGAATATGAGTTGAAATTCTAACCACATACCTATGAGGAGCCCTAGTGGTATAGTGTGTAATGCACATGGCTGATAGCCAAAAAGTGACCAGTTCAAATCCATAAGCTATTCCAAGAAAGGTGGACTGTTGCCTTCAGTTAAGTTTCACAGTTTGGAAAACTGATGGGTTGCTACTCTAAGCCAGAATCTATTCAAAATCATAAGTTTGGTGGATATACCTAGGAGACTTTTAATTTCTTTTACTTTTTCTTTTTTCTGGCCAAAGAAAGCAAGAGTTTTTAGTTACTTCATGCATAGGAAATAGGTGGGCTTGGACTCAGCCTGTCATTGTTGGTGGAAGGCAGTCAGGCCTGAGGATGAGTGAGCTCACAGCTGGACTCAGACCAGTCATTCTTCCTCAAGATGTTCACCACAACCAAGGCGCTGAGCCTGATCCCAAATGGGCTTGAGGTTGTCAGTGTCCTATGACTAGGAAGTAGGCAGAAGAAATTCAAAGAGTTACTGTATTAAAAATAAGTGATCAATGTTCAGTCATTTTAAGAGAGATCATATGATACAGAACCAATGGCATGAAAGGAAAAAGTCCAAGTTGCATTGAAGGCCCTGATGAAAAACAAGGATCCAGAAATTGATAGAATACAATTTGAGATGTTTCAGCAACACTCAAACTCTCAACTCTTTGCTATCAAGTCAGAACTCAGCTGACCCTGCGCTGGGTTTTCAGAGGCTGTATATCACATGGGATGGTTACTCATTTTCCTTCTACAAAGTGGCTGATGGATTTGAACCAGCAGAGTTCCAACACTAGAAGTGGTTATTCACCTATGCCAAGGAATTTAGAAGACAACTGACTAACTGAAAGAGATCTGTGTCTGTGTCCATTCCAAAGAGGGTGTTAGGTAAAATGCAGAAATTATTAAACAATATCATGAATACCAGATACAAGTAAACAAGAAGATAATATTTTAAAGTGACTGGAGCAATAAATTAAAATTGAACTTCTAGAAATTAAAGCTGGATTCAGAAGAAGCTGTGGAACAAGGAATATCATTGTTGATATTGGATGGATCTTTGTTTAAAGTAGAGAATACAAGAATTATGTATTTGTGTTTATTGACTGTGCAAAGGCAGTCAACTATGTGTATCATAATAAATTATGGGTAATATTGAGAAGAATGGGAATTCCAGTACACTTAATTGCACTTAACTGCATTTGGAAGCAGGAGTGACATCCACTTCCTAAACAACATGCCTCTGGAAACACTATGAACTTTGAGAAACAACAATAGTTATAGAAAGGCTTCAGGTATTTTATTCATAGGGTGGCTATGAGTTGTGCTCAACTCGACAGAAATCAACAACAACAACAATTGCATTCTTGTGCAATATGTACACAGACAAAGGTGCACTATTAACAACCTGTGATATAGAGATGTTGTGCCTCCATGCAGTGCCTCCTTGCTCTGTTCTGATTACTGCCTCCTGGTCCTTGTATAGGTTTCACAGGAGCACAAGCAGGTGTTCTGGGATTCCCATTCTTCTCAAGATCAGCCATAGAATACTCAACTTTATTTTTTCAGAAAACGAAGAGAACTTATAGCACTTACTGATGAAATTCAAAGACTGCAGCCGTTAGTATGAATTTCACCTCAATATAAAGAAAACAGTCTTCATAATTTTAGCAACACCCAACAGTATGACAAACAGAGAAAAGACTGATATTTTCTAGTATTAGTTTACTTGTATTTATAATTAATACTCGTGGAAGTAGTAGCCAAGAATCGAAATGACATGTTGCCTTCAGCTAAAAACCACGTTCAAAAGCAAAAATGGCACTTTCAAAACTAGGAAGCATCTAATCCAAGCTACGGCATGCTTCAATCACTCGCATGCAAAATCTGAAAAAGAAATAAGAAAGACCAAATTGAAGTAATGTCTTTGAATTACAGTGTTAGTAAAGGATATTGAATATACCACTGACTAGCAGAAGACCTAGCAAATCTGTCATGAATGAAGTAGGGTCAGAGTCCACCTTAGAAGCTGGCATAGAAAGACTTTGCGTCACTCATTTTAGACCTAGAAGACCTCATGTTTGGTAAAATATGTTAATTTGAAAAGAATATCTCTCTCAATAAAGTGGAATAAATAAACAATAACTGTAATACATAGCAGTGGTTATGTGGATAGCACAGGACCAGGCAATATTTTGTCCTGAGAATATTATGAGTCAAGCTCTATGGCTCCTAACAAGAACATACCTTTGTATGTGGCCCTGTATGAAAATAGCATTTTCTGTATCATGTTAAGGAGGACATTATCAGTATCTGGTGAGTTCTAACCTTAAAAGACTTCTAAAAGAATTCAAATACATCAATGATTCAGTATTCCTTATTTATTTTCTAAGTTTTACATGAAACAATTGAAAGCATTGTCATTTGGGTCAGTTGCATGACATCTTCCACAAGTATACCAGTTAGCAGATACCTATTCATAGCAGTGCTATGTTTTATAGTAGAATTATAGACTCAGTAACATTTCTATGAATATGAACTTTCAGATGCAGACCACCAGACCTCTTTTCTGAGGAACCATTGGGTGGGTTCAAGTTGCCAGTCATTTGATTAGTAGTCAAATGCTTGCTTAGCATTTGAATATATCCAGGGACTTCAAGTCCAGGTTTAAGAGTTATGATTGTAATTGCATTTTGAGGGGAAACATTTCAATCAACAATAGGCTCCTAGTTTCACAAACATTCTTAATCTTATGGTTCAGAGGGGATCAGAGATGTATCCTGGTCTTAGTAATTGTAGCCAAAGAAGTAAGAATTTCTTGTGGTACTTGCAAATGGAGAGATACACAAGATTTATTAGAAAGGCATAGGATGGTGAATTGTCTATGATTGGAAGCTCCGTTGAGGAATGAAAATTTTAATTTTCAGAGGAAAAATAGGGATGAGAAACGTCTTTAGAGTCAATCTAGACATGAAGTTAAGTCTTACCCCTACTATTGTAACAACTTCACTTCAAACAAGTTGTTTAGCCTGTCCGTACCCCTTTATTCACTTTGAGTATACTCAAGAAATGAAAAGTGGAGGAGGAATGTAGCATGTTCCTCTGGATTGATGAGAGAAATTATACAACTTATAAAGCAATCAGGCATTCAGTTCTAGTTGTCATAGTTTGTTGATCAGCAGTAGCTCTTTAGGGAGATTCGAGTATGGTGGGAGTTGATTCTCTTTCTCTATAAACAACTGACTTCCTGTTATATCTTCTCCAGGTACAGTCTCCATGCTGGGAGCCAATCACTCAGCAGTGTCTGAATTCATCCTCATTGGCTTCTCTGCCTTCCCTCGACAACTCATACCAGCTTTCTTCGTGCTGTTCTTGCTGATGTACCTGTTCACGCTGCTAGGAAACCTTGTCATCATGCTCACCATCTGGAGTGAGCACAGCCTCCACACACCCATGTACTTCTTCCTGTGTGCCCTCTCCATCTCTGAGATCTTCTACACCTTTGCCATCATCCCTCGCATGCTGGTTGATCTGCTCTCCACTCATCCTACCATTTCCTTCATGGCCTGTGCCACCCAGATGTTCTTCTCCTTCACATTTGGCTTCACTCACTCTTTCCTACTCACTGTCATGGGCTATGACCGCTATGTGGCCATCTGCCATCCCTTGCGCTACAATGTTCTCATGAGTCCCCAGGGCTGCACCTGCCTGGTGGCCTGCTCCTGGGCTGGAGGTTCTGTCATGGGGATGGTGGTGACAACAGCTATTTTCAGCCTCAACTTCTGTGGACCCAATGAGGTCCATCATTTCTTTTGCCATGTACCTCCACTTGTGAAACTGGCCTGTGGAGCGAATGTGTCTTTTGTGGCCAAGGGTGTGGGCTTAGTATGTATCACAGCTCTATTGACTTGCTTTTTCCTGATCCTCCTCTCCTACGCCTTTATTGTGGCTACCATCTTGAAAATCCCATCTGCTGAGGGAAGGCACAAAGCCTTCTCCACCTGTGCATCTCACCTTATTGTAGTCGTTGTGCATTATGGTTTTGCCTCTGTCATCTACCTCAAGCCCAAAGGTCCTCAATCTCTGGGAGGTGACACTCTCATGGGTACTACCTACACAGTCCTCACACCCTTTCTCAGCCCCATTATCTTCAGTCTCAGGAACAAGGAGCTAAAGAATGCCCTGAAGAAGACTTTCCTCAGCAAACTCAGTCCAGAAAAACTGTGACTTTCTGGGATAAATTCCTTGGATATTTCATATCCTTATTCTTTCTCTTTCTCTCTCTCGTGGTACAGAGGTTAAGCAATCAGCTTCCAATCGAAAGGTGAACAGTTTGAAATCACTAACCTCTGCTTGGGAGAAAAATATGACATTCTCCTTCCATAACGATTTATCCTCTTGGAAACCCTATGGAGAACTTCTCCTTTCTCTGATAGGGACATTTTATGTTGGAAACAACCAGACAGCAATGAGCTAGGTTTTACTCTCTCCTAGGCAGCAGAACTTTTGTAAATTTATAAATGACTACCACAGAGGAGAGAAATAAACAAAACAAGCAAACAAAGTTATTGTTCTTGAATCAATTCTGACTCATGGTAACCCCATGTGTTATAGAGTAGAAAACCAAGTTAGTATTTTCTTCTGCCAGGTTTATCTTTTGTGGTGGCACTAGTGAATTCAAACACCCAACCTTTAGGTTATTGTTATTATGTGTCATCAAGTAAGAATCAACTTATAGCTGATGCACTAACAGGTTTTCAGAGGCTGTAAACTGCATGGGAGGAGATAGACCATTGTTCTTTTGTGGAGAAGATGGTTTGAACTGTATGTCTGGTTTGGCAGTGCGAGTCCTTATCACTAGACTCCCAGATCTCCTTAGGATCAATGACAAGTCATCTTTGTCATATTAAGACCTAGTAGAGAGTAAACAGAAAAATCAAGCCCCTTGCTGTCAAGTCATTTTCAACTTCTAGCAGGCGTATAAGAGAAAAATACAACCACACAACAGGGTTTTCAAGGCGTACTCTTTATAATCAGGACTGTCATGGGGATTAGGGGAAGAATCATTAACAACTGTGATATGCAAATGACACAGCCTTACTTGTTAAAAGTGAAGAGGATATGAAGCACCGCCTAGTACAGATCAAATCTGTAACCTTCACTACGGATTATACCTGAACAAAAGGAAAACAAAAATCATCACAATTTGAGTAATTAGTACCACCAGGATAAATAGAGAAAATATAGAAATTAGTAATTATTTAATTTTACACAAATGCATATTGTCCATGAAAACAACAATTACGAAATGAAACTATCTGTCACATTAGGGAAATTATTTTAAAAGACTTATTTATAGTATTATAACACAAAGATGTGTTCTAGAGACATATTGAGGTGAATCTGACTCAATTCAAGGTATTTTTGATCACTTCATAGGCATGTAAAAGTTGGACAATGAACAAGGAAGACCAAAGAAGAATTGATGCTTTGAATTACAGTGTTGAGAAAGAATATTAAATATATCAAAGACTTCCGGAAGAATGCACAGTCTTAGAAGTAATATATCTAGAATGATTTTTAGAAGTGAGGGTGGTGAGGTGTCATCTCACGCTTTGAATGTGTTTTCAGGAGGAGAGAGTCTCTGAAGAAAGACATTCTTCTGGGTAAAGTAGAGAGTGAGTGAAAAAGAAAAGAACACTTAATGCAGTGGACTGACATCATGACTGCAGTAATGGCTCAAGCATACCACCAACTGTGAGAATGATGCAGGACGAGGCAGAGTTTCATTCTGCATAGAATCACTTTGAGTGAAATAAACTCTTAGCCCTTTGTTGCTGTTACTTTGTGCCATTGAGTCAGAACTAACTCTTAGCTGACCCTCCAGATGGTTTTCAGAGACAGTATATCACACAGATGGAGATCACCCATCTTTCTCCTGCAGAGCAGCTGATGGATCCAAACTGTGTTTCTTTTTTTTTATTATTAAATTTTATTAGCTTTAATGAACATTTACAGGGATTTTGGGTTTTCATTCCTTCATTGCTGCACCATTCTCTCTACCCTCCTCCCCAGTTTGTTCTTCTTCCCCCACCATCCGAATGTCTGTTTTAATTGTCCAATTGCCACAGTGCTTGTCAAAGTCAGTTCTGATTACTCTCCTTTGTCAGTGTGTCCTTTGCCATTCGCTATCACTCCTCCCTGAGAGAGACTTCACCCTGATTCATAAGGAAAAGGGGAAGGCGTATTCTCTTAGCTACTTCCTGCTGAAAAGGGACGCTGTGGGTTTCAGGGTGAAGATCTTCTCTCATACTCTAAAGGGCCCCTTTGGCAGTAGAAAATACATAGACTATTATGGAGATTGATTTTGGAATTTAGATGCACTGTTATTAATTGTGCTTAGCCGTACATGTTCATATCCTTGAAGATGTATCATGGGGGGGTTGCAACCTAGAAGACACAAATTTAACTTACAAGTTATAAGTACATGAGTCAAAAATGATGGAAAAGTAAAAGTAAAAGAAAAGATTCTTTTATTGTTTTACAAACCCTCCCCCAGGTCCCCTCCACCATGTAGCCATCGCTCTAGACTCCTGTGATGACAGAAATACCTAGTCACATATCTCTTTTAAACAGTTTTCTCCCTCCTCTGTTTCAGTGCAGTATACATTATTGAACCCATCTTACTCAGTCTCTCCCCAACCCCGAGGTTAGTCCCATTCTACAATAGTGGCATCAAGCAAACTGTGTTTCTTTGGGCTGGCACCACAACTCCTTATTCCTTAGGCTGTCAGAGCTCCCGCTTAGTTATCTAGTGCTGCTGTTATAGAAACACCACAGGTGTTTGCTTTTAAAAAAATGAAAATATATCCTTTTGTGACTGAGATATTTCACTCAATATAATGCTGCCTAATGCCACTGTTACAAAACGACTGACATGGGGGTTGGGGAGAAACAAAGAAAATAGGGGATAAATAATGTACACTGCACTTAAACAGATGAGAGAGAGAAATGATTAAAAGGAGTGTATGATTAGGTATTATTTGCATGAAAACAATCCAGAATAAGAGCTGCATACACTGGAGGTGGTAGGGTGGGTGGAAGGAGGAAATTGTGCAACAATGAAAGGTTTATTTATTTATTTTTTTAAAGAGAAAAGTGTACTGGGGGCAAGGTGGGTAGGGAAGAAAATGTGCAACAATAAATGAATGGAAACCAAGTTCTTGATAAACTTTCATTAAAATGTCAATTAAAATGAAAAAAAAATTAGAATAAAAAATATGAAAATTTATTCTCTCATATTTAAGAGGCTGGAAGTCCAAATCCAAGGTACCAGCAACAGGAGAAGGCTTTCTCTCTCTGTCAACTATGTAAGAAGACTCTGGTTATCAATCTTCCCCTGGATTAAGAGTTTCACATGTACCAGGACCAGTGTCCAAAGAAGGTGCTCTTGTTCTGACTCTTCTTTTTTAGTGGGCTTGAGGTCCCTTCTCTTATTTTTAAAAAAATTAATTAATTAATTTTTAATGCTTTCTTTTTAATTTTTTCTTTTTTGCTTGTTGTATCACCTTCTCTTATTTTCTTAATATTCTTTGTATTTAAAATGAGATTGTTTAAAAATACAATTTAATGTTATATCCTGTTTCATTAACATAAGAGCCACTAAGAAGAGTTGATACCTTTGAATTATGATGTTGGAGAAGAGTACTGAATAACCTATGAATTACCAAAAGAACAAACGGGTCTGTCTTGGAAGAAATGCAACCCAAAAACTCCTTTGAGGCAGGGATGGTGAAATTTCATCCCACATACTTTAGGTATGTTTCAAGGGGTGGAAAGTGTCGGTTTTTGAGAAAAAACATTACTGTGAAAGGTAGAGATCAGAGAAAGGAAGGAAGGCCCTCAACAAGATAAACTGGCACAACAACTGTACAAGTGGACTCAAGGGTATCAGAGATGGTGAGGATGGCACAGGTTAGGGCAAGTTTCACATTTGTTGTTCATAGGGTTGCTATGAATCATAGTTGATGCAATGGCACCTAACCACAATAACAACACTGGGTCATCTGCTGTGATCCCTTTAAGAGTGATCAGCTGGACCCTATCACATTCTTCTGGTCTCAAGGTCATGGAAGTAGAGGTTTGTGTGGACTATTAGTCCTTTGGACAGACTGTTTCCATAAATTTTTGCTTTACCACCTCCTTTTTTTGTCCTAGACAGGAAGGGACCAATTCTTCCAATTTAGGTAGCTCCTCATAGTTTTTAAGACTGCAGTAGCTATTCATCAAAGTAGGATGTGGAACATTGTCTTTATAGAGTATGTTATGCCAACTAACCTGGATGTCTCACAAGATTATAGTTCTCAAGGTATCAAACAGAGATACACAAAAAAATGCAAGACAACATAGATGACTGGCATAATAATATTAAGTTCTTATATACATGGAAAAATTTCTCCAAAATAGTAAAAAGGGAGCCCAGATTGAGAGAAATATTTGAAAAATTTGACCAAAAAGGGATTGATCTCTAAAATGTGTAGAAAATTCCAACAATTCAACAACAGAAAGATAAATAATCCAGCTTTCTTTTGGAATTCACTGACACTGCATTGGAAGCAGGAGCTGTCGTGTTTTAGTTCTCTCTTTATTGCCACCAATAAAGACTCTTGGTATCATAAAAAATAAATAAAACAAAAAAAATCCATTGTTGTTAAGTGTCTTCAAATCATAACTAACTCATAGCTGACCCTCGCATGGATTTTCAGAGGCCAAAAATTGCATGGCAGGAAATTACCCATTTTTCTCCCTTCGAATAGCTGGTGGATTTGAATCTCCTGCTTTTGAGTTGACAGTGCAACTTTTTATCACTAAGCCACCAGAACTCCATACAAAAAGTGGATAGAGCACCTGAAAAAGACACTTCACAAAGGAAGAACTTCAGATACCCAACAAATACATGAAGGAATGTTCATGATTACTAGCTAGTAGATCAAAACAGTAATGAATGAGACATGATTTCACCCTCATAACAACAGCAAAGATTAATAAGAGAGGAGATAACAAATGGTGATGACAGTGTGTAGAGATTAGAACTCTCATACACTCCTTGTGGGACTTTTCCTAGCTATTGTAGAAAACAGCGTAGGGCACATCTTTAAAAAATTGGGAATAGAAATACATTTGATCCCATAATCCCATTACTAGATATATTATAAAGACTTAAGGGC